TATAGAAATGGCTTGAAACTTTTAGAAATGTAAAGCAAAAGGTTGGGTTTATCCTTTTTTTTCTACTGCACTAAAAAAAGTCAGTCACTATTTTTTCCCCCTTTATTTCTGCATTTTTTTTCTTTCACTTTCTTAATTTTTATTTCTACTTGTATTTTATCTTACAATAATTTTGAAAAAACTTTTTAAAAAACAGGTAACCAAAGCATCTCTATCAATCAAAAAGCTAAAGGTAAAGGACTCCCTGTGGATTTTACTCTACTAGTCATTGCCAACTATAGAGGGCAGCGCGCGTCTCCGTTTCAAGGCCACTGAGTCAGCACTGTCTGAAGACATTTCCAGCTCATGTGGCCAGCATGACATCACAGAGCATCACAAGCATTCTTCGACAGACGATTTCTACTATCACTTCAGTACAAAATTAGGATTATTTTTTTAACAAAAACGTTAAAATGTAGGGGTAGGGGTTTGCAAAATATTGCAAACTCAAAACTTGTTTCGAACAAACTGGATAGTCTTACAAATCTGGACGTGTTCTCATTCTGAAATATTTCCTCTCCGACCTCAAAATATATCTATTTCAAGATTAGAATATTTCTGAAATGGCTAGAATAACCCATTACAAGCTTGAAACAGCCACACAGCCCTATAAGCAGTTTTTTGGGTTCACAGGATATAAACATTAATATCTATTAATGCCTCAACTAGAGAAACTAATATCTGGTTGGTAATCAATAATATGTCTGTTTTTTATTGTTTATACATAGGATTTTGTTTCTGTATCCCTGTAAAAGAAAGAACATTGAATATAAAATCTATTTTTTTAAAAAAAAAAGTTCTTAGCTACTCCACGTTATTTTATAGGAACATAAGAAACAAGTTTACATGCTGCTTAATAGAAATCTTTATGAACTAATATTTTAGCCAAAGCTATCTATTTTTTTTTTAAAAAGATACTATTTCCTTGTATTTGGGGAACTAAATTAAAACCTAATAAGTATTATAAATATTATAAATTACAATGAATAAAAGTAACTTAAATGGTATTGAAAACTTACATGTTACATATTACATGTTACATTATTCAATGCCAGTAACATGTCTCTATGTGCAGTTGGTAGACTTGAAGTATTTTAGCAAAAGGTGAAACAAAGACAGATGCTTTCTATACTTTACTTAAATCTTAAGGATGGCTTTTGTTGTTTACATATTCTAAGAAAGCAGTTGTATTTCAAAGTTATCTAGTTGACTTCTGCCCCATCTCTATTGATTCACTTTGCATATGAGAATGTAAAATCAACAGGGAGGAACAGAAAAAAGTCATTGATGCTGCTGAGCATGGTGCTGAAAAAGAGTGAATAGAACTGATTGTGAGTCAAGAAATATTAGCAGAAAAACAATCCAAATTCTCTTCACAAATCATATTGGGCTTCCCCTTGTTAAAATTCCTAATGAATGTCAATCTTAATGTATACTACCATACTTGCAGATAGCATTGTACAGGAAATTTATAAGTAGATGATAATTGTGCCTAGATTTTTTTCATTCATTTGAAATTATTTCAATGTATAGAATAAACAATTATACATTTAACAAGAGTAAACACAAGTTCAAATGGTCACAAGCTCTATTAAAAGACACACCACTGTATTTTCTAAATCAACAACAAACTGTTTATTTTGAAAATTATTAGGAAGATGTTCTTTGGAATGTACAGGAGCCCATGCACAGGGTCTCTTTAAAGAAGAAGCATCTTTCTTATAAGCTTGAGAAAGTCACAGCTGCTTTAATGGGTTGTATGAAAAACTCACTGTACTGGTACTTCTGTACCTTCCAAAGCAATTTTTCCAAATCATTTTCAAAACATGATCTGTATGTTTTGGACTATAACTCTGACAAGACATGGTTAGCACTGTCAATAGACAGCTATTTTGAAGGTGGTTTTACAAAACTCTAACCACACAAATCCTTGCTAACAGTTTGAGAATATTCTGCTATAGAAGAAAAGAGTTTATTTCCAAGATATTGCAGATAGGGTATGCTGCCTATTCCAATCCGCTATCCCCCGCATGGTGTTTTATGTTTCTTTTGTATTTAAACAGTGTTAGGTTTTGCTTCTTAATTTTATGGATACAGATTTAATTAGCCTGAGTAAAATCAGAAGCAGCTCCTGATTCTACAATATTGTTGAAGCCAAACATGTCTAGGAAATATTTGAATGGAAGAACACCAAGGAATCTTAGTTAAGCTGCCTTAAATTCAAAGAAAAGATATATAAATGAAATAAGTTTCTTATTTCAAAGGGAAATAAAAGGCAAAAATAAAGAAGATTTGTTTCAAATGTAAGTATAAACTATAGCAGCTACAGATGTGAAGACCTGTAAAAAAAATACAGGAAAAAAGATGAAAAACTGAAATGAAAATTTTGCAGAACAGTGGGGGGGGGGGAATCTCATTATTCAATATTTTCTATTTTAGAATGACTAAATGCTTAAAAATTGTTCACAGTCCACAGGATGAACATTTGTATATACAAACCAATCTGCAACATTTGTGAATATTTTCACCTAAATACAGATATCAATGTTTTCCATGGCATATAAAGTATGCACTTTTTTCATACTGGCCATATATAAAATGGTTCCTGTCTAAAATATTTATCTTATTTATTATGAATTTGGGGTTTTATTAAGGAACGTTCTTTTCTTGCCAAGCTTAAAAATTAATTAAATCAAATGATCTGTAGACAAAATGATTTTTTTTTCAAAAATCTGTAAATGTTTTTCTACTAGATCTAGCCACATTATATGCCATTAAAACAAAGTGATCACATAAATCGGATTATAATCCTTAAAAAAAATCCAGCCAATTGATTAAGTATCACACCTATAGTACAACTTGAAGGGCTGGCATTGAGAAATTCTGAACAGCTTAAGGCAAACAGTTCAAGCTTGGATTGTTAATATTCCTTGTTAATATTCCTTGACTCACAATAAGTTCATTATTATTTTTTGTTTCACATAATTTTTTTTATCAAACCAACAATTACAGTTTGTAAATTATAATGTACTTATGAATCTAGGGTTAAGGCAGATACTGTAGCTGAATTATTCAATCCTATAAATGTACACTTGAATGTAAACTCACAAAGGTTGAATATCATTAATCTCATTAAATGCAATTTTAGGCATGTTTAGCCAAAAGTAAAACCCATTAAATCTAATAGTGCTTATTCCATAGTGGCAGAACCTAAATGCAGCCAAAAACAGAATTATAATACAACCCTATAGCTGTCTATTCAAAAGTAAACTTGATTTGAGTAAAATTTAATGAAGTTTCTTCAGATTTCAACTCTACAACACTCTACTTGTGTATGTTGTGGTAAGCTAATTTACATATTTTAGGACAATATTAACCGGAAATGATACTTATAGAAGCTCTCTGTACACTTGAAAGCACCTAAAACATACATGAAGTCTTTTGTTTTCAAAACAAATGGCTTCTCATAAAAATTAAATGTTTATAATATTTCATTTCTACTTGATGTGTGTTTTTTGTTTATGGTCTAATCCAATTAATATTCTCTGAGAAGCAATTTCCATGGCTTTCAATGTAACCTACTCTGAAGTAAGTATTTGTAATTATCACCCTTTTAGCTTCTGTGTGTTTACTCAAAAGTAAATCCACCAGGTTCAATACAACATAACCAGTAATTCAATATTATGTCTGCATTTGTACAACACACCCATAGTTAAGTGAACCATGGTTTACTTAAATTTTCTAAATTCAAGATAAACTGAACTATGAATTAATCACAGAAGCTGGGTTCATATAACAAACCAATTAATCACAGAAGCTGGGTTCATATAACAAACCAAGCTAAAAGTCTGTGATTTCACATATCATCTAAACAGCCTACATATAATTTCATGACTGTAGAAATCTTCTTGCAAACTGATCTTAAAAATGGTAGCACCGCTAATATAAAAACGTTAACAATATCGGAGATCCTCATAAAACAAATGTGTGTTATTTTCTCCTTTTACAACTCTCCCCAAAGTTAATTTTTCACAGTATCAAATCCATTTGCTTAATCAAGTAGTGTAATATTTGCACAATGGAAGCAAAGTAAACAATATTTTATGTTCAGGAAATAGATGATCCTCCTCCTTAGCAACCCGTTTCCTATTATCTCCGTATTATTATTATTTTTTTCAAATTAACCAAAATAAATTAAATAGCCTGTGTTATTAATTCAGCAGTTTTGATTGGTTGAAATTAAGTCACTCCCCCCCATTTAGCAGACTATTCCGCATATATAGCAGAACTCCTAAGATATCCTTTCCTTAGGAGTTGTGAGTGTGCTGCTTTCCCCAAGGCTAACGGAGATGCAGACTTTTTTTTATTTTTTTTTAGGCCTCTTCCATCATCCGGAGCGTTGCTGTCTCCTTATCCCAAACACAACCTAAGTAAGCCAAGACTAATACACTGGATTCTTAAGGGTTGGGTGCAGCAGACCCCAACCTTCATCTGCGGTGTACATACGCTCTATAACGTAAGCTAGCACAACTGTATTTGTGGGGAGAGTGTTGGGGGGGAAATATACCCCTGGCAGGGGGAGGTATTTAAAAGGGGTAGAAAATGGGGGGGGGCGGAGAAGAAATTGGGGGGGAGGGGAAAAAGCTAGCTAAGCGGGTGGTTAAAAACCCAGAAAAACAAGGCAAGCTTGCCGTTTCGTTTTTCCCTCCTTAATTCCAGCCCTGCTTCGTGCTACACCATCGTCAGAACAGTGGAAGTAGGAAGACGCGCCCCCCCCCCGCACCCGCTCCACTTTTCTTCCTCCCTCGAACAGCCCCGGTTTCCCCAACGGCATCTAGGCCTCTCTTCCACCCTAGTAGTAGCGCCGAAGGACGGCAGCGGCAGCCGCGGCACCCCCTCCCTGATCTCGGGCGACAAGAGCCTCTTCCCCCGCATCCCCTCCTCGGAGTCCCAAGACAGACCTCGCTATTAAAAGCTTTCACGGCCTCCATGTTGTGTGGCGGAGGAAAAGGCTTAGAACCGCGCCGAAAGGGGGGTTGTTCTCCGCTGGGGTGACGGCGGTCGGCTTCTTTCACGGGCCACCGGGCCTCGTCGCCATGACGGGGTAGCGGAGGGTTAGGGGGGCGGACGGGTCGGGGAAAAGGGGGCGCCTCCCAACTCCGCTGGGCCGCCCCAGGGCAGGCTCGGCTGGCGCTGCAGGGACAAACACGCAATAGCTGCGGCGCGGGCACCAATATGGCGGGCGGGAGGGCTTGCAGCGGCGTAGTTCCCTCCGAGAGCAGCCGAGACGCGGGCCAGAGCGGCTCCTAGCGGGCGAGCCCGAGCCGTGGAGAGGCGCGGCGGCCACCAGCGAGGTAGCGGGCAAGAGTGTCTTTTAGGGTTGTCTTCTGGTACCCTAGCGATGGCTCCGCGAGAGAACGGACTCCCCTCGCAGGAGAAGGGGCGGTCCTGCGGCGGGGTGAGGGATGGCGACACCGGGGCGCGGCGGACGCCCCCCCCTCCTCTCCGACCCGGAGAACGGGCAAAATCGGGAAAGCGAATGGAGTCCTATGCTTTATTTAGCGGTCGAGCCTACTCGAAGATAAAATTGCTACTTTCTTGTGGATATGTAGGGGAATCTTACTGAAAAGTTGTATGCATAGGAAAGAAAGCCTTTCTTACTGAAATATCTTAAACGGCCCTTCGGAAATGGATACTTGCCCTTGCTTGAGGGAACTGGGTTAGCATCGATTATGTATCTCCTACCCCTTTGGTAAAATATTTTACTTGCTTTTGCTTAATCCATCAAAAATCCAAAGTCTGTAAATTTGTTCTCATCCTCTGCCTCATTTCCTTCTGCAAACCTGAGGTTCCATATCCAGTGTAGCCTTAATTTGGGGAAGGGTTAATACAGTCCTAAAATTTAATAAAACCAAACAAAACGCAGCAATCAATTAATTTACTTAAAAAAAATATTGAAACTGGCCAACAGCCCTGGACTTTCTGGGTATTTA